TCTCCCCCCCACACCCCCCCGACTAGCTGCAAGGCAGTGGAGGGGAGCTGGAAGCCAATAAAAGCTCCCCATATTCCCAACTTCCCCCACCCCAGCTGGAGGATGGGGCCAGCTCCTGCAGATCCACCCCTAACCCCAGGTCAGCTGCAGACCAGAAGTTAGGGGAGCAGCTGGTGGCTAGGGCCAGCCCCCAGATCCATACATACAGGATGTGCCGTGAGCCGCCCATTCCCTGCTCTCACTTCAGCATCCTTCATTCCCAGAGCCCCCACACCCATCTCTCTTCCCTTAGCCCCTGTCCCCTGCCCTGACTCCTGCATCCCTAGCCCCTTTCCATAAGTCCCCCCCCACCTCAGCTCCCCCCTACACATCAAACTCCCTCCCTGATACAATCATTTAAACACAGCATGTACATTTTCCTTTTATTTTTTTTTAAATACTACACATAAGGACCCAAGCAATGCCAGGTAAATCTTCTAGTGTTTAATAAAGCAATTCAAGTCTGATACTATTCAGGGACCAAAGTGAAAGTTAACTGACAAATAACACCCTCACAACTGTTCTATCTCTACAGGTTAGCATGCACAAGGGAAGCCAGGTTTCTTGATCCCATTGACTACTTACTTCTTCTCCAGAAAGCTTCCATTCCAACAGGCAGCCGATGACAATATCTGCACAGCCTCACTGCTTGGAGTGGAAAGACAAAAGGAAACAGCTCATTCATGCTTTTACCAACGTATCAAATTGTCTCCCTTTTATCCCTTGTATGCAAAAGTATTTTCAAAACCACTCCAATATTGTAAGTGGAGAAACTGCAGGGCACGGAGGTTTAGTGACATGCTCAAGGAAGTGGCTGGCACGTCCTCTCTTCATTCACTATGCTTTTTCAGGGGCACTCACAGTAGAGAGGGGACAGATTTTTAAATCAGACCGTTTAAAATTCTTAGTTTCTTTTGGTGAACTCCAAACTTATGTTAAAAAAAATAGTTTCTTCAGAATCTAATGCTTCCATCCTCTCAGTTGGGGTCTGAGAAAGCTCTGCCATATATTCCTGGATTTACTAGATCTGAACTTGGTGCTGGTTTAGAGAAAAAGTGAACATCTCAGGGTTTCTGAATAAACACTAACTGAAGTCCAAACATACCATGGGTGTGTGTTACGCAGAGAAATTCTTTTGAGATTTGGATGATGATTCTTTAAGTTTGGTCCTTAGATTTCTGTGCTACTTTCAAATCAAACTTTGTAGAATATTCGGAGTGTAGTAAAATATACCTAAATATGTATTTTTAAAAGGATTGCATCTGAACAAAGTTTTCTAAAAGATGAGTCCTCACCTACTAGCTTTTCCTTTTACTATGAATGAGAGCCAAACAAGAAAATGTTGCTAAATTCTAAAGCACAGATGCTAGATTTGCCAATGAAACAGTTTTTTAAAGTTATTAAAAAATGTGGCTTGTACAATAACACCTACTTGATAGAATTAGAGTTGTTTTGTTCTAATAGCTTTTGTTTCCAAATGTCTATAGTTTCATCATTTATTAACCAAGTGTAATGTAACGGATTTATGGTCCGGAAATCATCAGCAGGCAAGGAATTCTGTGAAAAGATACAGATTTCAGTATTTAAGAAAACACATAATACAGGACATCCCTGCTATATGTTGCCCTGATATACAGGCAGTCCCCGACTTATGTCGGATCCGCACTTATGAACGGGGCTTTTCTCGCCCCGGAACTCACGGGCGGCGGGTCGCCACCCCTGTGCTCCAGAGCAAGAAAAGCTTCTCCCGTTCTCCCTGGTCTGCTGGGGGGGTCCAGCGGCCTTGCAGGACCCCACAGCAGACCAGGAGGACAGGAGCAAAGCCTTGGAGCACGCCCGCAGGGGGACAGCTCAAGCCCGCCCGGGCTGTCCCGCTGCGGGCATGCTCCGCGGCTTTGCTCTCCGTCTCCCTGATCTGCAGGGAGACGGGGAGCAAAGCCTTGGAGCACGCCCGCAGCAAGATAGCCCGGGCGCGCTTGAGCTGTCCCCCTGCGGGCGTGCTCCGCGGCTTTGCTCCCCGTCTCCCGACCAGCAGACCAGGGAGATGGGGAGCAAAACCTCGGAGCACGCCAGCAGTGGGACAGTGCGGTGCGCCTGGACTGTCCCGCTGCCCGCGTGCTCAGCAGCTTTGCTCCGCGTCTCCCAGGTCAGCAGACCAGGGAGATGGAGCA